CCATGACCATGACGTATAATCAAGCCGTCCTGTCGCGAAAGGCTAGGGTAAGAGGCGCAAACGAAAAAGGAAGGTTAGTGCTCATTGAATGACTTGGAACAAACCGCTCCCGTTTTACCGCGTGCAGACCACCCGTTTTGCGCGTGTGCTTTTTGGGGCAAGCTTTGTCTTCTTAGTTTCCTATGCTTTCTCTTCTGCGTGCCTGTTCTCTCGCCTAGGCGTGGTGTTTTTTAAACCATCTATTCTATAGACTTGTCAACCGCGCAAGGAGGCTCTTTTGTAGTTTTCAAATGTTCAGTTTTCGTTTTTTTTTTTCTCTTGGGCTCTTCACTTCTCACCTCTGTGCCGCTCATGTCGTTGGACGGGAGACATTCAAGTGAGTGACCCATTTACAGCACTTGGGTCTGAATGTTAGACAGGAAGGGACTTCGTGGGGCTAAGTGGGGCAATCAGTGGTTTCTCTGAGATTTCTCCCCTCTCCTGGGTTAAGTCCTGGTGTCACTTACCATCGACCCTGTTTTGAATGTCCCTCCTAAATCCATATGCGCCATCTCTCTGCTTTCATTTTCGAGTAGTGCATTCATGAATTTTTCTCTTGAAGGTGTGGATTAACGCGAATATGAAAAGAAGAAATATGAATCTTGTCCCTAATGTTTGATATATCGAAGAGGTGCAATACTATCAAACTACCAAATCTCCCGTAAATTTCAAACAAATCTTTTACGTGGATGCTGCTTTTAACCCTTTGACGACCGCCGTTGTGCGTGCGTTGCTTCACTTCTTTTTAATTTTTTCATCAATATCCATTAACTCTCCAACAATTTCATTATTAGTAATGAGCGCATTATTTTGCGAATCCGATAATGTATTTGGGTAGTTTTGAAACATAAAAATGCCAAATAAACCACGAAAAACGAGTCGCCACCGAGTGAAAGTGTGGCCCACCGGCGGGCCACACGGTCGTCAAAGGGTTAATTATTGCTCTAGTTTTTGCTGACGTCCTTTAATATGGAAACGGGGGTAGGCAGGGACATGAAAGAGAACCGCAATAGCTTTCAGGCCACGTAGCCAATCGCCATTTTGAAAATGTGAAGTATCCATGGACACTGGTAGCCACGTAGCCGACCGTAGTTCGAGAAGAGGGCCTGACCAGTATCCATGGACACGACGTTGGGGAAATGGGCGTGGATGATCTATTGTCGAACCATTCAGCGATTTTTACCTACAGCCCTGAAAATATTTCTTTCAATTCTCAAAATTAGTCAAGTTGACCTCGTGAAATTATTGTATAAACTACCTACTTTATGTTCCTCGTTATTACCCAAGAGACGAAGGCAGCGTTGTGGTCAAAAGGCGCTGCGCCGGTTTTTGGGAACCCGGACCCTACAATCGAGTCGAATCCACTACGCGATTGGCGTGCGATAAGTAATGCTAGACTTTGGAAGAACACAAACGCTAGAATTAATGTCGGCTAGCCCCTGAGGCATTTATAAATGAGCTGTGATTTTGGTAGTTTTGCGAAAATCAGCAGTCGTGTTGACATGCACGGCGCATCCCAGAGATTTCGAATGGTACGCGTCACTTTATTCTTTTCTTCGTACTGCAGAAAAATGCGAATAAAAGCCCAATATTTCAGAATTGTAGGCAGGGCAAATAGTCCCTTGCGCAGTCTACAACAAGAACAGAGGGTGATCGGTGAAACTGAGGGGGCCACTCCGTTATCCACTCTCCGGTACTGACGATAAGAATAAAAGCGCTCAGACTTATAATCGACTTTTTGTGATATACTTCTGACAGTACCGATGTAGTGGTTCAAGTTCTTCTAAGGTCCTTCACATTTTGGCCTGCCATGGTTCAAGGATACGGTCGTGATCCAGTAAGGGTGGAGGAACTCCAGGGTGGATGGGCAGGTGCAAAAAATTGAATAGGGTAGATAGCATGCAAGATGTGGAACATTCACCTGTCTTGATTGAAAGTATATTTCATTTCAAAAGAGTCCTTTGCGTGTTGTCTTATCCTTGGTGTGAGAGCTCAAAGGAGTGCTCTCCAGTACCAAGGACAGGATAGCAAGAAGAGGCCTTTTAACTCCATTTTCACCAGGTAGTTAAATTTTTGGTTTTTGGGGGGTGGGGGCATCAATAGTGATGTGGACCATGGAAATATTTTTGAATGAGTTATGAAAGAAGAATGTTCTATGAAAGGATTCGTGGAACTTTGAATATTGTCCCCGATTTAAACAATTATTTATATTTCTATACTCTGCGCCTAAGAATCAGGAGATTATCATCGTGTTGATCCTATTAGGATGGAATGAGCTGTGTTGAATTTCCGCGTCGTGTCTCAGTAAACTCTTAGGCCGCGTTCATAGTTCGCGGCTCGGGAGATTATAGAATAGTGGGCGACACGGGAGATTAGGATAGTAGTAGGAGTAGGATATTAGGATAGTAGTAGAGTAGGAGATTGCGCTGACAAGATTGGATACGTATCGATTGAAATCGCTGGAGAGTAGTAGATTGGGCGACTTCAAGCGAATAGATCAATACATATCTAATCTTGTCAGCGCACTATCCTAATCTACTACTATCCTAATCTCCTACTCTACTACTATCCTACTATCGTAATATCGCAATCTACTACTCTCCGGCGATTTCAATCGATACGTATCTAATCTTGTCAGCGCAATCTCCTACTCTACTACTATCCTAATCTACTACTATCCTAATCTCGCCGTCAATACATATGTTTTTCATTGTCGCGTACTATACTATTCCTGATCTCCGAGCGTGAACATGAACGCGGCCTTATCGGTGGTATGAAAGACTATGTGGCAAAGAAGGGAAAGTAAATGGATAACATTTTTTATTTTTGCGGAACGAGAAATAAACAGAGGACAAAATCGATATATGAAAAGAATAAATAAACAAAAGTTTCATTCTTCTTTAAGAAAAATAATGAGATTTGAATAAACTATTGCACTTAAGAAAAGTCCCGGGGGAGTGAACAAAGAATTAGTTCGACTTCCGTTTCGCACGTGCCCTTAGGCGGAAGCTAAACTGGAAGAATTACCCTCCCTCCGTGCTCTTCAGTAAGGAAGGGGGAAAAGCGTTGAATGAACATCAATCATCTAATTTTTATGGATATGGTTCTCTGAAAATCTGATCGTTGATTTGAACGGGGCTATTTTACTGTGATTCTGATTATTTCTTCTTATCTTGGTCGTGATCTCATTTTTTAACATATGATTGGGGACTGTTATTTGCGTTTATCCCTGCGTTTTTTGTATTCTTGATCAGTGCTAGTTGATTTATTAGTAATTATTCTGGGGCGGAAGTGGTGTAGTGGCAAGTGGCACGCTTACCACGCGAGCGGTCCGGGGATCAAATCCTGGGTCGTGAGTCGCCCGGGCCAACCAAGCCTTCCATCCCTCCGGGGTCGGTTAATTGGTACCAGACTTGTCTGGGAGGATAAAAACACTGACTTGTACATCGGCTGGCCCCGCAAGTCATTGTATAGGCCACATCGGTGTCCTTGTGAGGAAAAAAACTAGGGAAGCAGTCTGAAACCCGCAAAACGGACCACTGTTCTCCCGTTTACTTCCGCGTTGTGTCTTTTTGCTAAAACGGTTGGAATACGTGGCTAGGGTCGAATGGCGAGAGGGCAGCCTATCGTTGGGCGTGGCAGCTGGTATGAAGATTCACCGCCGTAGTGGGGCCTTGTTGAGACGCTATGGGCGCACTTCTCCAACGATAAGTAAAATGGGTATTGTACTACTCCCCAAGGGGCTTACTTCCCATTGTAGTAGACATATTTCCAGTTTTTCGACCACCGATTTATCGTTTCACATGCCTTTAACTAATAACTATTAATCAATAATAGCTAATATAAATGTTGTTATCTGTATCCAATATTACACCACTGGTGATAAAACCAAAGTACCATATATCTGAAAAAAATCAACTTTCTTGCTGTGGCCTGGCGGCCATCGTGTAGGCCCTATATTAATCATGATCGATCATTTGAATGAAAACCAAATTGTGGTGATTTTTTTCCAATCGTCTACTGAATTGGTCTTAAGGGCAGTGATTACAAAAATTCAAGAAGGGCTTATTGTAACGTTTGGTGCTACTCATGGGACGCCAGTGGCGAAAAAAGCGGAAAATCCGTCAAGAAAACGCAAAACGGGACCCCCTTTTTTGGCCGTTGGTTTTCACTCATCAATAGGTAGCAGCTCAGAAAGTGGAGTTATGAACGAGTTCACCGCAACACGTTTGATGGCACCATTGCCAAATCACGTTTAATCGAGATGTTCCATTTGCGCCGCTGCTAGCCCGCAGCTCGTCCAAATCAACAAGTAACTGGTGGGCGGATCGCTTTTGGGGCGGTGCTTTCGAAGTCCTGCTCAGCAACCAGCGCACCTTCGTCGTGAGAGCGCCACACTTCGCTTCCTTGGCAGCCAAGTATCTGACTTCGTGTGGTGCATATACTTCCCCGATGCGCTCTCTCTTTATCTTAATCGCTGCCTTTAGTGCGGCGTTTCGCGCTCTAAACGAACTCATTACTAATGTCATACTTTTGAAAAACTTTGTTGACACATCTTCACCAATAATGGAGGAGCTTGGTGGGTCATGCAGTCCTCGCCCTCCTATTGAGTCCCCAACCTGCCGGTAGAAAAAGCTCCGATTAGAATAGCCGGAAGCTAAGATTGATTCCACGTCCCTCCCCTGCAAGGAAATTGAATTACTGGAGCAGCACGATCTTTCGCTCCACATGCCCCTCCCCCTTTTTTCTAGTTGTCCCCATTTTTTATTACGCTTTTCTCGTGTTTGTAGCATACGGTAGCTCTCGTATCTAATAAGTATTGCGGTCAACCACTCATTCTATAAGTCCTTTTGTTCAAGCTTTCTGAAATTCTTTTTCTATCCCGTAATGACTCTATTATGTTACTCTATACTTTTCACCACATTCTTTTTTCAAAATATTTTTTTGATAGTTTTTTCAGTATGGGGAGGAATGACTCGTCTGTGCCACTCCCAATGACGGCGTTAGAGACATCGCCGTCAAAAATGTCCGACTTCTACATCGGTCTCGGGTTGGCCGTTTCTTCGTCGTTGTTCATCGGCAGTTCATTTATCATCAAGAAGAAAGCCCTTATCAAGGTGAGCTTTGATCCGTCTTCAAAAGTGGGCAAATTAAGCCGATAAGTAAACTAATAAATAAATAAACAAATAAATAAATAGATGAATAGCCTCCAAATGCTTACAAAATACCGGCTATTGGAGATATGTAGTGGGAATCCTCGATATTTGCAACGAATTAGTTCATCTCCGGCAGTGTTGCTGTCTTTATTTTGTTTTTTTTTTTTCAGTTTTGATCATGATTTTTTATCCTTTTTATCACACTGATGATAATTAAAGTTGAAAGACAAAGCGCCCAGCGTTGATTTTGTCATTCCTCCCTCTATGTCGCACTCTAGCAACCAACTTGGGGTACGCCGTGCAATCAAGTTCCATTTTGTTCGCGGATGCACTTTAATGAAGCCTTGGTTTCAGAAATGACTGCGGTATGTCACCATGTTACCGAATATATGTCTACCAGGGTTCAAAAACTTAGCGCCCTGTGTGAAGTATTCGGTATTTTACAACAGGTAGATTCAGGCAAAACCTTTAACAGTGGCAGTCGTATATATAATACCGTATCGATCTCTGAAAACTGTTCTCTGCCTGTCAAAAAAGTTTTACTGCCGTTTATGGCGGACAGAAACAGCAGAGAGCAGTGATTTGATTGTCAGCACGCACTATTATCATCCCGAATGCATGGTTTGTATCCAGTAGGGGAGCACTCTTATGTCATTCTCAGGGAACTCAAATAAAGGGATTCACCTTTTGATTAGAAACGTACTCTAGAAACTCTTCATTTTTGATTCAGTCGCTGACTGAAGCCAAATCGTAGCACACCAGTTTAGGCAATCGTGGAACATGTTTCTGATGTATTTTTATTATTTTGTGGCCTACCACTTGAGTAAAGAATTTCTATCCACAAATTTGGTCGAAAAATTTCGTTACCAATCGAAAAAATGAAGCTTTAGTTTTTTTTTTTTTGAAAAATGAGCTGCACACAAAAATTGACCGATAAGCATCAAATTGTAAGATCAACTTTCAAGCATCAAATTGTAAGATCAACTTTGACGATGTTTTCTCGTGAACAAGCTCTTTGTCCGCCACGCTGGCGTCGAACCGCCGCACCTTTTTGCTTATCGGAGGAAGTAGCGCTAACCCATTACGCTGCCGGACACATTTATCGCCAACTCGGCTCATTGTCATTATTAGCCTGTTTACACCATGGTCAGAGTATAACCTGCTGAGCAGGTGAAGTGCCCTGGCTATGGTAAGTATGTCCATGAAAAGCTGGTGGAATGCAACTGTGCCCGGTCGCGTATTCATGGTAGGCCAATCTTGTCCCGGAAGAGGTGCGCTGACTCTACAGGGTGGCGAAAAATTACGTGCGCGCAAATTTTGACGCGATCACGTGACTGCTTTGAGCATCAAAGTCAGCTTTTACGCATCAGTTGCTTTCTTTGCATCTTCAACAATCAGCCTGTGAAGAGAAAGTTGTTCTCAAGACCATGGTGCAGGCCTGCACAAGTCGCGAGGAGATTGCACGCCTAGCCAGCGGCGGGATGAAGAACAGTGCAATTTCGTCGAAGCTCAGAATTCCTCTGAGAACAGTTCAAAAGATTGTGAAGCAATGGAAGGAGGAAGGACACGTCTTAACCAAGCCGGGAAGAGGAAGGAAGCGGACTGTCAACACAAGGAGGATGCGTGGTATTATAAAGAAGAGAATTGACCGTAAGGATGATCGGAGCATGAACAAAATGGCAGAGCAGCTCGAGATCTCCAGAAAGTCCGTTCAAATGATAGTGAAAAATGAGCTTGGGCTTCGAAGTTATCGCCTATTGAATGGACATGTTCTCACCGAAAAGACAAAGCAAAGTCGAAAAGAAAAATGCAAGAAACTGCGGGAGTTTTTCAAGGTGCGCCGAATTGAGGACGTTCTTTGGTCTGACGAAAAAGTCTTCACTGTGGAAGTGGCTAAAAACCCTCAGAATCACCGCCAACTTCTCAGTCCAGCTCTTAAGAACACCCGGAAGAGAAAAATTGCCACAAGAAGTTTGTTTCCCAAAAGTTTAATGGTTTGGGGTGGTATCAGTGCATCAGACAAGACTTCGTTGATTTTCATAGACAAAAATGTGAAAATTGATGCGAAGTTCTACCAAAAAGAAATCCTTGAAGAAGCTGTGCTACCCTGGAAGCAAAATCATCCCAACTTCATCTTCCAGCAGGACTGGGCTCCGGCCCATGCAGCGAGATCCACCATTCAGTTCCTCGAGACCGAAATTGGCTCCTTTCTGACGAAAGATCTGTGGCCTTCTAACAGCCCAGATTTGAATCCTTTGGACTTTGCTGTTTGGGGTTATATGGAAGAGGAACTAAGGAAGAGAAACGTGAAAAGTTTGGTGGCTTTGCGAAAGGAAGTGTGCAAAATCTGGAACAGTTTGGACATCAACTACCTTCGGCGCACCGTCGACTCGATGAAAAGACGAATCGAAGCCTGTATCAAAGCAGAAGGCGGGCACTTTGAAAACTTGTTGTGATTATGTAATGTCATTGTTTGTTGTTCTAAGAAAATATTTTTCTTCCCATGTTGGTATACGAATATAATAAAGTTCGAGCGTTTTTTATGGCGCACGTAATTTTTCGCCACCTCTGTAGTCCCGCCTGGGCGAAAGTTCTGTTCATAACCGCTTCCGTAGTTGAAGCATGCCCCAGCCGCACTCGCGCTAACAACAATCAACCAAAAAAACTTCTTTCTTGTTTAGTAAAGCAAATTGTTTCAAGTTGTGCGAACGTGATGTTCACAACAGAACGAGCAAGTGAAGCGCTTACGGTATTACCGCGTGGATTGGTGTGATGGGATGTGATCCATATTCGTTATCGATTTATAGTTATGTGTTAGATTTTTTTTAGTTAAAAGGTAGGAAATATTTCATTGACTCAATTAAAATAATAGAAAATAAGGATCACTGAGTTGGGCGACAAAATTGTACCCCTTGTGAGGGTTTTGGTGTAAGCTCCACCCAACTCGGTGTGTCCCGCCTACTATATATTCCTCTTCCCCGTCGCTAGTTCCTATCCCGCTTGCTAGGTTTCAGGGGTGCTCGGAACTTCTTGTACTTATCGTTCAGCTCCTGCGACCCACCTCGCGCACGCCTCACCTATTTTGAACATTGAAATTGGTTCATTCCCTAGAATCTACCAACTTTTTTTCTGGTCTCCAGGTTCCCGTAGCAGTGTTTTTTTCTCATTATGCCTTTGCTCATTTAAATGGTTATACTTGAAAGTTAAGCGACAAAGTTTTTCTGATCCTTCTTTTTTTCTGCAGTTGGATAGGGTAGGATGTTATAAGGAGAGGAAAAAATAAGAAATAACTAATTTTTTAAATCATAGCAAAGCAGTAGAAATTGAACTTGCAGTGGGTCTCGGTGAGGCGTGCAATTTTGCGGCATATGCGTTTGCACCAGCCAGTTTGGTCACTCCGTTAGGTGCACTATCCGTTTTAGTCACGTAAGTCCTTATCAGACTACTTGTTTCTTTTTTTTTTGAAATCATTAATTTAAGATTTTTAGCCATTACTCATTGCTCTCTCCTTAGAAACTTTGGTATTGATCCCTGTGATTCAGTGCCGTATTGTCGTCACGCCTTCTGAAGGAGAGACTGAATTTACTCGGAAAAATTGGTTGTGCTGTTTGCTTACTTGGTTCAACAGTTATTGTAATTCACTCACCGAAAGAGGAAGAAGTAGCTTCTATGGCAGATTTAGCGTTGAAAATGAAAGATGCAGGTGAGTATATTCATGGCGTGGTCAAGTGTAATGCTGGCGTAATGAAATATTTGCGAGCGTTTTCGCTTAGAAAAAATAGAACGGCAAGGGTTGACTCGCTTTTTTTTACTTCGGCATGGGGGCTAATACTATTGTCCCACTCTTTCGGGTTGCCCATGCGCTTGATTGTGCGCTTGAATCGCTACAAAATATCCGGTTCGATCTCGAACTCCATGTGAAAGCTTGTAAAGGCTTACTGATTTAAGAACTATTTACATTCTCACAGAGATTGTAGCTGTTCGGAAGAGGTGGAAGCTTTGGGTAGCAGGGCCAGAATCTAGCCTGGCAACCTAGCTGACTTCAGTCTTTTCGTTTTACAACTCCTGCCTTTCTCCCGGCCTCCCCCCCTCCGAAAAAATGCCGTATAGTCAACTTTTGTTCAAAGCCAGGTTGAATGTGTGCTTGGTTAAAACAGCTATTGTTGGAGGCTATTTAGCTTGAAAAAATTTGGTGGCGCTTTTCTATCGTCGTAGGTGGCCCCCATGCATTCGCTCTAGTCTATCAAGGGCACAGGCTTTTTCAAAACGGTTTCTTGCATATTGTAGGGACGCATGTAGGGAACAAAACCATGTTTCATTTTCGCTGAACGGTTATAGCAGTACCAAAAAAGAAGCATAAGGTACTGTTAAGGGTTCGATCCCCCGTGGCGACTAAATTTTGCATTTGGGTTGGCGCCTACGGTTTGGTGCCAAATCGCGCTAAATATCAAAATCAGATGTCAAATTCATCGTCAGGGGCGGTATTCAATCCTTCCCCCAGGGGGATATATCCCCCTCCTCTGATTCAATCCTCTGGGGGGACAAAAAAGGGTTGCGTCATAGGACCTAGCATACCTCTGTGTTTCTACCTGCCAGACAGTTAGAGCAGCGCTACTACCCTCCACTGATGAAGCACTCTTTCCCCTGAGGGGTCGCGCTGCTCTAACTGTCTGGCAGGTAGAAACACATCAGAGGTATGCGAGGTCCTATGACGCAACCCTTTTTTGTGCCCCCAGAGGATTGAATCAGAGTAGGGGATATATCCCCCTGGGGAAGATTATACGCCCAGGACTATTTTGAAGCCAACAACGCTTTGATTGCGAAATTTAGTCTTCGCGGGAGATCGAACCATTAACCGTTGAGCGAGAACGAAACATGGTTTTGTAGTTCATAAATGCGTTCCTACAATATGCGAGAAACCGTTTCCTAAAACGCGTGGCTTGCCCTGAAAGACTCCCTTCGTAAGAAACTTCTGGCGATGCTTCTCCGATCTTATTCCACTTAATCGCCTGTCGCTAGCCCGCCCATCCCTGCGCACCAATTGAACTATATTGTGTGTGGTATATTTTGAGCAAATGTATAATACAATAATTTTGTTTTCAGTATTTATATTATATGTTGTTGCTGTCATAGTGGTGACTTTGTTCATTTGCGTCTACGTTGCTCTCGTTATGGTAGATCAAATATAATTGTCTATATAAGCGTGTGTTCGTTGATTGGATCGCTATCAGTACTTTCTGTCAAGGTTGGTCATTTTTCTTTTCCAGAGTGAGCTTACAAATTCAAAAAATCCCTCTATATTCATTTGAAAGGTTAAAAATCTAGCGAAGGTAATCTGATAGGTTTATGAAAGAGAAAGATGGTAGTGAATAGGGTAGAGGAAGTGTCAGAGTAGATGATAGGTGGTGCTTGGCGGCAGAAGGTTATCAACTGCGTAGTAAGAGGCAGAAGGTGCCTTAAAAGCCTCGCCAGTTCTCAGACACGCTCACCGCCGCCATGTGGAGGGGTGACAGCGCCACTGTTCTCAAATGAAACCGTTACCGAAATCTCGACTGATTCGGCCGTGGCTTGGCTCCAGCCAGCAACTTCAAGCCTCAGTCGGTCTCTGTGCTTCACGGTCAACTCCTTCGCTTCCTGGCAATTATTTGGGCAGTGAGGATCTTTCCCAATCAATCCTGTGCCATTTCTCATCAGATTTTTTTTCCTTCATTGACGCACCTCATGGATCCGTCCCATACCTTTGTCGGATCAACGCGTTACGCGCCTTCGAGAGTAGTATTCACTGAGAAAAGAGTTTTCCCAGTTCCCGTTGATCTCTTCTAAACGTGAATATACGGCATATGTTGTGCATCCATGTGTTGATTATTATCGCGTTCTACATGTTTGTGAGATGGTAAGGGGAAATTTCTTCACTCATTTAATCTCACGGATGCACCATGCACCCAACTTCCGTCAAATTTCGATAATTATCCGCTAATATGACGACAGAGGGAAGTTAGGAAGTCGCTTGCAACGCTTGCTGTCGCCTATTCGAATATTTACCCGTCCGGATGCTTCTGATGAAATGCAGGGAGCGACGGACTCGGTCTAGCGCGAAATGCCTTGCAGCACCTCGCCGCAGCGCTGTTTCGACCAGAACATATTTCCCTAGCTCTTTAGAATTACGTTTTTAGAACACTTAATAATTACTTTTCTTTATAAATTCAGTTCGTATAGGTAAATTTCATGTTTTCAGGGTCTTGGCTTAGCCATAAAAGAGACGATATCTGGAAATCAGCAACTTACAAATGTACTCACTTATTTCTGGTTAGGGTCCGTCGCTGTCTGTGTTTCTGTGCAACTGGTAGGGGTTTCTATTTTATTTTAATAAATAAATGTATGTGTGATGTAATAGTTGCAACATTTCTTTTGCATATCATTTTTATTTAAGGTATACCTTAATAAAGCGTTGGATATGTTCAACACATCAATGGTGACTCCGATTTACTATGTGTTTTTTACAACTTTTGTAATCTTAGCTTCTTCAATACTGTATAAGGTGAGCTTTTATGTTATCGAAGGGCTATTTTTGCATAACCGTCCATCTGGGGCAGTATGTGATATGAAATCAATTAACAGTATATATTTATGCGGTTTTTTTTCGGAATTATCATCTGGCATATTTCGAGCTAGTTCGTAGAAAGGGCACTTTTGAGCGTAGCTTTAGATTTGATCATGAAGTTTTGTATTTTTGTTAAAATTTTAATTTTTTGAACCTCATGTCAATAATCATTTTTCAGGAGTGGTCTTGTCTTGGTGCCTCAGATATACTAGGAAACGTTATCGGTTTCTTAACGACAATTATTGGTATATTCCAGGTAAGCTCTGAGCGAAGTTATGTTATACATGCATTTCTCCTATCCTACCTGTCTTCTCTAATCCGAGTGTCCTTTACGAACACGACGCGGCGAAGCGCACGTCTATCATGAGTCAAAAATTTGCGCGGTGGTTGGTTTGAGCGGTCATAAGCATGGAAATCGAGAAAGCACAGACGCAAAGACGTCGCGCACTTGATGTGGGAAGAGGAGGGTGAAGGGGGGGGGGTATCGTGTAGAAATCAACGCCTGCCGTCAAGCCGCGTGCTACACGGCCGAAAATATACTTGTCATTGCCGCACTATCTTTGCAATGATATTACAGCCGTACCCATCTCCACCCCGCTCTCCCCCCCCTCCACTTCTCCCATCGTGTACAGTTGGGGTCGTATGCAGAAGTAACTCCGACAGGAAGGATTCCCTAAAAGTCTGCGTCTCTGCTTTCCGCTGACGACCATGGGGCGGCAGAGTAACCACTCCGCGCGTGAGTACTGCTGGCACACAGCCTAAGTTCCTAACTTTCCTTGCATGTTTTAGCATTTACAACATTATTTTGCGGAATATCCCATTGCCTTTTTTTTATCCTTTTTCTTTTTACTGTGTATATTGTGGAATCCACTTGCTGCCATTAAAAGTACTGCGAGATTGATCAGTGTTGTACCGCTCTGTTTTTGTTTGTGCAGCTTGTCCTAACCTATTTTTTTAATACCCAATTTTGTGTCTAAGCTGATCCGCTCCTAGTTCATCATCCATTTGAAATTATGGCGGGATTCCTTGCGTGTATCGCCAATTCCTCCTGGTTTGTCGCCCTCTCGACGTCTGCTCCCTCAGCCAACCGCCGACGGCCTAGTTTCTCTCACCGTAACTCGTACAATTCTCAAGGCTGTTGGTGGGATAGCATTTGTATAGGGCGTTTTCGGCTATTTTTTGGTTTTCTCGACTAGGGGTCTAGATCCTGTTTGAATTTTCAACCGCTCCACCCATTTTGCTGTCTCGATATGTGCCTTTAATTGTTAGAGAAATCGACCTACTTTTATATTTTGAAGTTTTTGAACTTTAGATTTTCAGAACTTGTTGTTTTCAGGAGTTTTTCACCAGTAAGCGTTCTGTTGTTCTTTACAGATGCAGCTGTTCCGTGATGTGAATATCAGTTTACGTCAAGTACGTGTGCTGCTTCATCGGCCATCGGCGTCGTTGGCCAGCCTTGATCTCTCATCGAATTCCGCCACGAACCTCGTCGACGACTTCAACGTCGCCTCGCCATCGTCGTCCAATGGTTCCGTCCGACATGCAACGTACACGTGACGAAACCGTTGAGAGCTGGCGACAGGCCACTTCTTTCCGTCTGCGCACATTTCTGGTTCGCAGCGCATTTTTGAAAGTTGCGAACAGCCAAACGATTATACGATTTTTCAAAGTGCTGAATTTTTTGAATTTTTCTCTTTTGTTATATTTTCTTTCTCTTCTCATCGTTCCCATCCTTTGCGATCTGTTGGAATAGAAGATTCATTGACCAATGGTGGTCATTTTTTATGAATTTGTATTATACTAGAAGTAATTGTGTTACGTCCATTAGTGTTCTCAGTCCTTTTCGCTCAATCACTCTGCGGTTTCTTCTCTTCTACTCGTCAGGCGCTCTTGAGTGCGGTTATACTCGGCGATCAACGGCGGCGACGTCGTGAGATAGTGTTCGTGCGGAGGAGACGGTAGACGGTCATAGAAGGCCAGAGACGTAGACACAGAGCGTCTGGTTTTCTGCGTTTCCTCTTCTCCTCACGGACACTTTCACGCCGAGTATGTCCACAACATAAAAGTAGCGTGTTCATGACGACAGATATCTTAGAGCTCTTTCCAGACAGCGATGTCGAGCAGTACTGTTCATGAATACTGCTCAGCATCAGCTACTCGTTTGAGACCGGTTTGTGACGTTGTTTAATATGCGCTTTATTCTTTATTATTTTTTATTATTACTACTAACATGGTATTGCAGCAGCAAAAGCAGCAACAGCAGGTTTCGTTGTGATTGTTTCCGTGATTTATTTGATGTGACTAGAAATAGCGGAGCCCGAGGATGACCTTTACCTATCATTTTGGTCGTCCAAAAGTGCTCCATAATCGTCCTCCTTCCCAGTGTCGGCACATATGACATTTTCCGTCATCATTATTGAAATGCGTGTATGTTGCTATTGTATATAGCTAGAGAAAGCTGAATGAAGAGATATTCACTGAAGTAGGTCTCGAACAGAATTTCAATGTTACGGTGTGAATAGAGATCACTCAGCTACGGTAGCTGTAACCCGAATTTTTCTAGAGGTACGTTTTATTGTCGAATTTGAGCAATGTCCTCTCGTTTGCAAAGAGATATCAACTCTTGGCCGAGCCAGGGTCGATGCCTATCGTTGGTACTTTTCGAAAAATTTTATGACCCCCCTCCAATACCACCCTGCTTCTTCTTACCCCGACTACCACCGTCACCATCATGACTTTCTATAGCATTTCGATTCTGAGACCAGCCGACACAGCCCAACTCCGCCCACTTTTCCCTTCAAAACAGCCGTTGAGCGGGGCAGGGGGAGGTTAGCGAATCGCTCGATTCGCAAACTATGACATCGGCCTTGGGGTGGTTTGGGTTTGACTGATGCAGGTTACCGTACCCATCTACCTACCTGCCGTATTTTCCCTTTTCCGACACACTCAAACCCTGTGTGGCCAATGGGTGTTCCCATTTCACAACGTGGAGCATGGAGGATACCTCTATAGCAGGCTCCCTTCAACGTCAGTGGTGTTATAGTGTACCGGAGTACCTACCAGTGCAAGACAAATTAACGAAGAGTACTACAATATATAAGTTTCATCCTTATGATCCAGTCCCGTGATGAGCCGTTTTCAAACAGTTGCTGATGGATGCCCCCCAAGAGCCCGTCGCGCGCGAAAGGAAGAGACGCAGACGCGGCAAAGGATGAGATACAGCGCCTGTAGCGGTTGGGCGTCAGATTAAGCAGAGTGTACCATACTACGTCTCCTATCGCACAGCACGCGCTGCGACTCGTCCTTTGCCGCGTCTGCGTCTCTTCCTTCGCCGCGCGACGGGCCTCTTGGGAGGCACCCTTAGCTGACACTTTCTTTGAACCAGGATTGTCTTGCGTAGTACATCCAAGAAGGCCAGCCGCATTTTCCCAGTCACCTTTAACACGTTGACACGTTGGCGAGCACATTTTGCCTTACGCGCCCGTGGGCTTAGGCGCTTTTTGCATGCCAAGCGTCGGTAAGTACAGGGCAAAATTCACTCTGTAATTCTTTGAAATCTCGAAAATATACAAAACGCATGACTAGAAAATAAAAAAAAATGACTAGAATGCTCCCAACATACTTTAGAAACAGACGAAAAGATGTTATTACTGAATATTTTATTAAATTTCAGTAACATGCCTGGCACGCCTATACGTTGGGAGGGGATGGGTATTGAAGGTGGGGTATTCGTATTCTGATCACATGCAGAATCTCCTACGAATTTTTGTTCGAGAGTGATGCGAAAAGCTCTGCGTACCTGACGGAAAAGCGCCTTTGTTTCGCTGTTATCTTGTTTCGTCCACTTGCTATAACGCGCTTTGTCTGTCGTCTGTCGTTTTGTATGTCTGTCACGAAATTCTCTAGCTCCTGAGGATCCGCCTGTAGAGACCGGGTCAAGTGTGGGATGGGTGGACAAGGTCTCACGAACAAAACATATATCAGCTAAGCGCGGAAGCCCAACCTACGGGGCGTGGCGTGCGTCGAAATGAATTGTACCAAAACCAGATTTCAATTTCAGTGACAAAACGACCTCGAAACTGGGCCAAAAAGTGGGTAAAGGTGTGCATTGGTAAGTCACATCGAATTAGGGAGACCCACCCCCGGTGGGCGGGGCGTTCTCCAAAAAAGCAGTGCTTTATGAAAAATTTCATAACTCGGTTTGGAGAAAGCCTATAGAGAAGAAAAAAGTCAGCGTAGTGGAGCAATGTCTAAGGTGTTCCCAGTATATATGACGTAGGCGGAGGCCCGCCCATAATGGGCGGAGCGCGCTCTGAAGTGTACAGCATTTTCTACAAGCCCTCATAATTCGGGTCGGAAGCCTTATGAGCCGGAAAAGGGTGGATAGAGGTGGGTGGAGGAGTGGAGGTCAAGTATTCATCGGTGGGCGGAAATTTGCGGCGAAAATCAAACTCGGTTCCAGAATTTCCGAGAGACTGTGAAAAGTGGGTAGACGGTCGAGCATGGATAAGGTGAAAACTGAGTCAGCACGAGAAATTCATGATTAAGAGTAATTGCTTGAGAAAAGATCTAGACGCCGAGGGACTGAAAAGGTGCTTCATCTCCCCCACAAATAATTCTGTTAGCGGTGATTTCATGATATAAAGTCGATATGAACATCTTCAATGACATTTCACTTTGCATGATAGCAGGAACTTCTTGTTTGTCAATTCTACACCTTGCAGCCCACTTCTATGAAGTGAACAATTAATCGCGAGAAAAAAAGCTCCTCCAATTAGGAATTGGCCGATCATGGGTCACAGCCGAGTACAGTAACTTGGGACACTAACAAGGGAGGTCGTTCAGGGTAAGCCAAGCTTTTTCAAAATGCTCTCTTGCATGACATTTGGGCACATGTGGGAACCCACAGAACCATGGTTCATTTTTCCTGAACGGCCCTCTGAATACCAAAAAAGGGTCCTAGTTCGATTCCTCGTGGTGACAAAATTTTTGCATTTCGAGTTGACGTTTCAAAATTCGCGCAAAATGGAGTTAGCATGAATAATGAGTACCATATTCATGATTAGGACCGTCAGTAACCCTTACAAATAGACTTTGATTAAAAAACTGGTGAAAAAGTTGTGACATCACAGTGGGGCCGTTTGGTGTCACACCTTTTTCACCAGTTTTTTAATCAAAGTCTTTTTGTAAGGGTTACTGACGGTCCTAATTATGAATATGGAATTCATTATTCATGCTAACTCCATTTTGCGCGAATTTTGAAACGTCAACTCGAAATGCAAAAATTTGTCACCACGAGGAATCGAACTAGGGACCCCTTTTTGGTATTCAGAGGGCCGTTCAGGAAAAATGAACCATGGTTCTGTGGTTCCCACATGTGCCCCAATGTCATGCAAAAACCATTTTGAAAAAGCTTGGCACACCCTGAACGACCTCCCTTGTAAGTTTTATTGAAGACAAAAACTCGTGTTACATTGATTTCCCTTATTTACAAAGTTTTATCGGTTACTTATTGGCCGACATCGGTCATGTGTTGAGATTGCAAAGCAGGGTACCTCTTTTCGAGTATCAAACGACCTTCGAATTCCCAACCAGTCTACCATCACTTCTTATGGGATGCGCCACGCGCTCTACATATTCTTGAAACCGTCGTAGCATTTGATTGCGAATCTACTTATGCAATATGAGGACCAATAGTTGCATAAAGCGATTCGATCCGGGATTTGACTTGGAATGGTCTACGACCCTGCTTGCCACTACATTGCATCCAACCCTTTTCTTCGCTCTATTCTATGATATAGCGTTTGGCATAGATAGAATGGTGGATGGAAGAAATTGGTAGAAATTACTGTTGACCAAAGCGGTTGCGAGGCTCTTTGCCGATTGGGCGCGCATCCGTTATTGAGTGATTTTGGGTTGAAATTCGAGAATTATCGAATCGCTGGTGATTGTGGCGACCCGCAGTGTCAGATCTGGTTCTGTCGATCGACTGCCACCTTTCGGACTTTATTTTACACTTTCCAAATCTCTCTCTTCACTCCTCAACGCTTCCTTTCTAGCGGTCGACAATAAGGACGTCTTATAAATATTTTGCTGAACGAATATTCATTTGAAATACATATTTCATTAATTCGTGCAATACCTAGGCATGGTACTGGCCTAAGCCTCATGGTTAATGTGTAGCAACAGCTTGATTCTCCAAAAAGCCCAGAAAGCTTGAGGCTATTCCAACAAGGGAGGGGGGGGTGGTGGATGGAAATGAGGAGAAGGTTAGGTATCTTGTGCAAAGCAGGTGCAGATCACTCAGAGGAACTCGATATATGGGGATTCTCGTCCATGCAAGGGTGGGAAAGGATCTCTGGTGTGGGTGGACCACTTTTTAAAAAGGCAAAAAGCTATTTTTGCATCGACGAAATCGTTGATCTACCCCGGAGCTCGTTTCTACTGCGCTCGTCTGAATATTTCACCCTGATTCTTCGCACCATCCGGAAGTGAATGCGGTCCAGTAACTCGTGAAATGTCCTTGTGCAGAATTGGGACTACCGTGACATGCACGA